GGAAATGGCGCGGCGGACTTGAGGATCTCCCAACGGACCACTCTCGTGGTTGACGAACATTCCACCGATTGAGGGGATTGGGTAAACCACCACGGTGTGGGTGTCGGCGTAATTTTGGCGGATGTCGTCGCGCAAATCGGCGCCGGCGCCGTACACGTAGTCGACGCGTCCGGCAATCAGAGCGGCGCCGGTGGCTGGTCCGTAGGCCAGATGGTTGTGCTGAATCCCGTCCACGTACGGCAGGTCAGGATTCCAGTAGTTCGGGTTCTTCTCCGACTTCCAGAACTCGCCTGCCTGGTGATCCTCCAGGATAAAGGGGCCCGTGCCCGGGTGTTCCATCGTGCCCGGCTTGACCTTTTTTACGTCCAGGTTGTTGTCATCCAGGGTCTGCTTGCGTTCGATAACGTTCCAACCGGATGCGATTGCAGCTGGTAGAAAAGCCCTGGGAGCTTTCAGTTCGAATTCAACCGTCAACGGGTCGACCGTCCGAATCTCGGCAACGGCCTCGAAAATACTTTGGCGCGGTGAGATCATGCCCACGGGCGGGTAGATGATGCGATCGAAGGTGGCCTTGATGTCGTCGGAAGTGAGTTCGGCGCCATCGTGGAACAACACGCCATCGCGAAGATGGAAGGTATAGATGAGACCATCGTCTGATACCTCCCAGTTATAGGCGAGGTCGGGCAGGATTTCCTTGCCGCCGTCGAACGGGCTGTAGCGCAGCAGGTTGTCGAAGAAGGGGCCCTGGGGCTGCGCGCACGCCGCTGTATTACACTGGTGCATATCGAAATGGGGGGAGTCTGAAAGACCGGCCCATTGCAGAATACCGCCGCGTTTCGGATCGTCTTCCGGGGCTCTCAACATCAGTGGAGCATTGCCAGCCAAGGGGGCTGGGGTCGCGATTTCGGCGGCGTCCGAAGGTGGTTGAGTGGCGGTAGGTGGAACAGTCGCGTCAGCGCCGGCGGGTGCATCGGCACCGGCCGAATCGGTTGCGGTTGCAGCATCATCTGAGGCGGCGCCGCCACAAGCGACGACCAACCCCAGGATTAACAACATAACCAACGACATTGCGAATCTGGCGTTACGGGTTGCTAACATCGTATGGTCTCCTTATGACGCGCGTGTTATTTGCGCCGAAGTAAGAACGACGTTAGCTGGGAATCGCACGATTTGTGCCCGAAGCCGTTCAAATACCCATCGGCATATATTTGCAATTATCGGTTATTCAACACGAATATTTGTCAGTAGTCAACTAATATTCACTGGAAAACTACGACAATGGTAAAAAATAATTGCATGATGTCGAAACTGCGACATCGTCAGCCAAAATCGTTTGAGCTTATATTGAAGGCTTAACGGGTCCGATGATTCAATGGCCGGGTATTCCGTGGCGATCGACTTTGACGGCGGTGGTCACCTGGAGTTTGACGAGGAACCACGTTGGGAATGAACCTGGAGAATGCGATGTTGCAGATTCTTGATAGCCTTTATTGGCTGGTGGAATGGATCGCAAGTTGCTTGATTGCCCTCAATTGCTGATGGTAAGGTAATGGTGTATGAATCGATCAATCGATAACGAAGATATCGTCCGCCTGTTCAATAACATGGCCTCTATGCTGGAGGTGAAGGGCGAATCGGTCTTCAAAATCCGGGCCTACCAACGAGCAGCTAACACGATCGACCAGCTCAGCTGGTCGTTGGCGACTCCTGCCGCTGCCGGCGAGGACCTGCGAAAGATTACGGAGTGGGCAAGGCGATCAGCGACAAGGTTCAGGAGTTGCTGACCACCGGACGCGTGGTGGCCTACGATCGATTGGCCGAGGAATTGCCGGCCGGTGTTCTGGACCTGCTGGAAATTCCCGGCATGGGTCCCAAGACCGTGAAAACAGCGGCAAACGAGTTGGGTATAACCACTGTGGCCGAGCTGGAGATGGCGGCATTGGACGGCAGGTTGTCACAACTTCCCAGAATGGGAAAGCGCTCCGCCGAAAACATACTCAGGCATATCAGGGCTCAACGGTTGCGGTCCGACCGGACCCCGTTGGGCATCGCGATGGAGACATGCGAGGCGGTTACGGAAGCGCTATTTGAGGCGTGCAGTGGATTGGTCAGCCTCACCGCGGCCGGATCGTTGCGCCGTTGGGAAGAAACAATCGGGGATCTGGACCTCATTAGCATCTCCGACGACGGCGAAGACGTCGGGTCCGCTCTGGCAGCGTTGCCGTCGGTACGGGAAGTGTTGGTCCACGGGGATGAAAAAACATCGGTGGTGGTAGATCCGGGGATTCAGATCGACCTGAGAAACGGAAAAACCAACACTCTGGGTGCGATGCTCCAGTATTTCACTGGCAGCCAGCAGCACAATATAAGGCTACGGGATTACGCCAACCGACAGGGTCTTTCGTTGAACGAATATGGTATTACGGTGATTGATACCGGAGCCATCGAACATTTTGCGGATGAAGAGATCTTTTACGGTAGGTTGGGGTTGCCCTGGATCCCACCTGAGCTGCGCCGCGGGTCTGACGAACTGGACGTTGCCCGACGGGGCGATCTGCCGGCATTGATTGCGGAAACGGACCTGCGCGGCGACCTGCATCTGCACAGCAACTGGAGTGACGGTAAGTTTCCGCTCGAAGAGATGGTAGCGGCGGTGGCGGCAATGGGGTACGAGTACATGGCGCTGACCGACCATTCTCAGGGATTGGGAGTGGCCAATGGGCTGACACCGGACCGCCTGGTTCGTCAAATCGAGATCCTGAAGGGACTACAGGGGCGTTATGACATGACTATCCTGTGTGGATCTGAGGTTGATATCAGAGCGGACGGTTCGATGGATTTTCCCGACGACGTGCTGGGGATGCTGGACTGGGTCATCGGGTCGGTACACAACGCCATGGGCCAGGAGCGGGACGTAATGACGCGGCGCATCATGAGCGCGATGCAAAACCCGTACGTGAACGTGATCGGTCATGCTTCGACGCGTTTGCTCGGGCGGCGTGACCCGGTTGACTTCGACATCGAGGCGTTGCTGCGAACCGCCCGTGATACCGGCACCGCGATGGAACTTAACGCCGCGCCGGAACGCCTAGACCTGAAAGACACCCACTCAGCAAGGGCCAGGGAACTGGGCGTGCCGCTGGTCATCAACACCGATTCGCACCATGTTGACGGATTAGTCAACCGACGGTTCGGTGCGGCCGTGGCACGGCGAGCCTGGTGCAGTCCGCGGCACGTGTTGAATTGCTACCCACGGCCAGATTTTTTGGATTGGTTGCACACCCCCAAAGCGGAACGGTCCGCGAAGTTCGACGCCATGTTGGCATCGGGCGTCTTGGGGTAGACTCGATGCCCTCAGTTTATAGATCACATGCCGTATCCGGTGACGCTTGCCGAAGAGTCCCACACGGAGGCAAGGGAATCACGAGACAGAATACTGGCAGATTTGCGAGCCGCGGCCGGGATTACAGAACCCTGGCACGCTGCATTGCTGCGGGCGGTGGGTCAATGGAAGGCGCCTTACGAACGCGTGCGCGAACGTGATTGGCACTACGTTATTGGCGGCGAGGCGCTGGACTGGCTGACGCTTGCGGAACGACTTTGCTATGAGATTCCCGATGTGGTTCCTCCTGAAGAATTGGAAGCGTTACTGTTTCGTGGGGAATTACCGGATGAAGTGGGGGAAGAACAGTTTAGACAGATTATCGGTGCGCTCCGTTACACCGCTCACCTCAACTATTGGTATGGGGTTGTTGTGGAAGAAGCGTTGCAGTTGTCCGTGGAAAACGGCATCCGAAAGAACCACCGGGCCCGTTGCTACCAGGACAATGAATCCCTGGTTGAGGAAACATTCCGGCACATTTACGGGGAGACTCGCGTCGCGTTGGCGGCGCAGTTCATAGACACCGCCGATTGCCTGTGGGGAGGGGATGCAGAAACCTTTACGTTGACGGGTTACAAGGAATTTATCTACTGGTTGTTCAAGAGAAGATTGAAAAAATGGCACCCGGCCCGTGTTGCAAGCGACACGCGCCGTGGGATTGGAAATGTTGCGAGAACTGCAAAACAGGATTGGGATCGATGCTGCGGTGGACGCACTGGCAAACAGTCATTCCGCGTTGGCCCTGCTAATCCCGGCTGGTAAATCCTGATTCACAGTCGGCGACGGATCGGTGCAAAAAACGGGCCCGCCGGACATATGATCCGGCGGGCCCATTGCGTTACGTAATTATGCGGGTCTAGAGACCGTACACCTTGCGGTAACTCAGGCTCATCCGTTTCCGTTCAGTGTCGATGCTAAGGATTTGCACCTTTATCAATTGACCCTGGTATACGATTTCCTTGGGGTGCTCCATGCGGCGGGCCGACAGTTCAGAGATATGAACCAGTCCCTCTACCCAGTCTTCCAGCTTGACGAAAGCGCCGAAGTCCATCAGCCGCGTTACCGTGCCGTCAACTACGTCACCGACGTGGTAGCGTTCTGGAACCGAATCCCAAGGTTCGGGCTGGGTCCGCTTGAGGCTGAGGGAAATCTTGCTGTTCTCTTTATCCACGCGCAGGACTTTGAGGGTCAACTCGTCGCCGATGCTTACCACTTCTTCCGGAGACTTGACCATCGACCAGGACAACTCCGATATCGGAACCAAACCTTCAGCATCGCCCAAGTCGACAAATGCGCCGAAACCGCGCATAGAGCGAACGATCCCCTGGACTATCTGGCCCTCTTCCAGGACCTCCAGCAATCGTTCTTTCGCCGCGTTGCGTTGCTGACGCCAGATCCTGCGCTCGGTGAGCACCAGTTTTTCGCGTTGAGAGTCCAACTCCAGGATGTTGAAGCGGGCGTCTTCCCCGATACGCGCATCGAGATGCTCGACACGGCCTTCTTTGGGTACTGGGGCCATTTGAGAGAAAGGAACGAATCCGCGGACACCTTGCCAGTCTACGACCAGACCGCCTTTGTTGTGCTGCACAACTTTGGCGGATAGTTCCGAATCTTTTGGTGTAGGTCGATGAGGTCTTCCCAGACCTGCTTTTCCTGAGCCTGGTCGTAGGAGAAAACCGCCATGCCGCCGGGCCCACGGTTGTTCAGATGAATCACCATGACGCGGGCGCCCTGCACCATCTGCTCTCTTCGTTCGTCGGTCAAAGTCCGCATTTCTTGGGGAGGAACGATGCCTTCGGTTTTGAGGCCGGCGCTGATGACCATACCTTCGTCATCAATGCGTACAATTTCCCCGGTCACCAAATCGCCTCTGCGGTACTCCCGCGGCGAAAACGCCGACTCGGGGAGTTCCGACATATCAGTGACTGCGTAAGGGTCCTGGGCTACCATCTGTTCAGCTGCTCCTTACTCTATAACTGGCGGGTGATCGTCTCGTCAGCCGCAATGGCGAAGAATTGACTCCACGTGAAATCTTATAGTCAGAATTCGCCTGCCTAATAATACTTATGCCGGGAACAAATTGCAACCGTCGCGTCAGGAACCCCACAGATCGCACTAGATTCAGGCCAGGTACCATTCCACGTTGATAGGGGTCAGTGGTTGTCCAAGACAGAAATCGTCGAGGGTGTCGGTAATATCGTTTACTTGCGGGCCAGCAATGGAGACTTATCGTCGAGACGGTGGATGCGGACAACATAGCCGGGCACCTCGGCGAGCCGCTCAATATGGACAACCGGGCGGATGCGATGCTAGTATTTTTTAAAATTGAATTGGTTGCTCAGTAGAGAACCGGGGTTGCGCAGTGGCGCACCTCGGTTAATCGCGGGCCGCTGGATGCTACGATGGCCGACACCGCCGCTCAACTGCCTCGCGCCTACCAGGCCGCGTCAGTCGAACAACGCATCTATCAGACTTGGTGGGATGCTGGTTATTTCCAGCCCGGAGGAGACCGGTCAAGATCACCATTTTGCATGGTGATGCCGCCGCCCAACGTAACGGGCGAGCTCCACCTGGGTCACGCCCTCACCGCCAGTCTCCAGGACGCCCTGGCCCGATGGCATCGGATGCTGGGCGACCCCACGCTGTGGGTGCCCGGCAAAGACCATGCTGGTATCGCCACTCAATGGGTTGTGGAGCGGATGTTGGCCTCGGAGGGCACGGACCGGCACGCATTTGGTCGCGAACGTTTCGAGGAGAGAATCTGGGAGTGGGTGTCCCAGTACGGCGACACCATTGACGAACAGCATCGGCGATTGGGAACTTCCTGCGATTGGTCCCGTATCAGGTTCACCTTGGACCCCGGGCCGGCTCGGGCGGTGCGCACCACTTTCGTGAATTTGTTCAACAAGGGGCTGATTTACCGCCACGAGCGCATCATCAACTGGTGTCCGCGCTGCGCGACCGCCCTGTCTGATCTTGAAGTAGATTACGAAGAACAGGATGGGAAGCTATACCACATCCGGTACCCGCTGGCTGATGGGTCCGGGAGAAATGTAACCGTCGCCACAACCCGCCCTGAGTCGATGCTCGGTGACACCGGCGTTGCAGTGCATCCCGATGACGAGCGGTACCGCGACAAGGTTGGGGCGATGGTGGAATTGCCGATTGTGGGTCGGCAGATACCGATAGTAGCCGACGAAGCCATTGAGATGGAATTTGGAACCGGCGCTCTAAAGGTTACCCCGGGCCACGATGTAGTCGACTTTGAGATAGGTGAACGCCAGGACTTGCCGATAATAACCGTGATCGGATTCGACGGTTGCATGACCAACGCAGCTGGCGAGAAGTACGGCGGCATGGATCGTTTTGCGGCGCGAAGAGAAGTAACCGCAGAACTGGAAACATTGGGGTTGCTCGAGAAGGTCGAAGATTACCACCATTCCGTGGGCCATTGCCAACGTTGCAATGAGGTGGTGGAACCGTTGATCAGCCTGCAATGGTTCCTAAATGTGGGAGGCCACACAGATATCGACAGCATCGCCGGCCGGGCCTACGCCGCAGTTGTAGACGGCGAAATAAAGATTGTTCCGCAACGATTTGCCAGGGTTTATCTAAATTGGTTGGAGAACATCAGGGATTGGTGTATCAGCCGGCAGTTGTGGTGGGGCCATCGAATTCCGGTGTGGTATTGCTCGGACTGTTCCGACCACTCGGCATCGGTCGATGACCCTGAGGTTTGCTCGAGTTGTGGCAGCCCCAACATATCTCAGGATAACGACGTTCTGGACACGTGGTTCAGCAGCGGACTTTGGCCTCATTCCACACTGGGTTGGCCCGACGAAGGGTCAGAAGATTTTGAAACCTTTTACCCCAACTCGGTATTGGAAACAGGTTACGACATCCTGTTTTTCTGGGTTGCCCGGATGATAATGCTGGGGATGGAGAACACCGGCGAGGTTCCGTTCCGTGCCGTGTACCTTCATGGCATGGTTCTGGACGCCGAGGGTCAGAAGATGAGCAAAACCCGCGGCAAACACATGGACCCGCTGGATTTGGTGGAACAATATGGGACGGATGCCCTGCGTTTCGCCCTGACAACGGGGACAGCCCCCGGCAATAACCTGAGACTCAGCGACGACAAGCTGGAATCGGCGCGCAACTTTGCCAACAAAATCTGGAACGCATCGCGGTACGTTTGCGGCGCACTGGAATCGAGGGACGACCTTGCGGGTTGGCATGACCTTGACCAACCTGAACACCGGGAAGACCGTTGGATCGTGGGAAGGCTGGACGCCGTGACCGTCGCCGTCAACGAGTCGCTGTCGCTCTTTGAATTGGGCGAAGCGCAGCAGATGCTGTACGACTTTGTCTGGAACGATTTTTGCGACTGGTATATGAAATGGCCAAGGTGCGGATCCGCAACGGATCCGCGGCAGATGCGGCCGCGAGACCCTGGCCCACGTGCTGGAACGGTCGTTGCGATTGTTGCATCCCTTCATGCCGTTCGTCACTGAAGAGATTTGGCAGAACCTGACGATGCGGCTGCCGGCGCCCGAGGGCGGGCTCTCCCCGTCAATCATGATCGCTCCGTATCCGCTAACCGAAAATCCACGGATCGCTCCGGATGCGGAATCCGAAGTCGATGTCGTGATGCAAACGATTCGTGCGGTGCGCAACTTGCGGGCGCAACTGAGAATCCCCGCGGGACAACATCTGGCTGCAACTATTGAATCCAATGGGATGCGGTTGGTCGTAGAAGAGGAGAAGGCCGTTATTGGCGCTCTGGCGCGCATCGATCCGCTGCGGGTAGCCGAGACCGGAGAAGGCGGCATGATTTTGGGCGTGAGCCTGGTGGTGAATCCCCTGGTGGTTCGAATGCCCCTGGAAGGCATTGTGGACCTGACGGCCGAGGGCCAGCGACTTGGCGGCGAGCTCGATGCTGTCATCAACAATGAACAACGGGTGCAAAAATTGCTGGATAACCCCAATTTTGTCTCAAAGGCCCGTCCCGAGGTAGTCGAGAACGAACGCCAACGTCTGCAAAATGCTGGGTGAGCAACGGAGGCGTCTCGAAGAAATCATTGCCCAGTTGGGCGCATAGTCACCAAGATTGCGTAATCCGGTTACATAACTTCAGGACGCGTTGGTCGGCTAACTGGCACAATAAAAGCACGAAACCAAAACGAGGTGGCAGTACTGGGATGAGGCATAAAATAATCCGAAACACCGTGCTTACAATGGTAGCGATATTGATGCTGGCTACGATGACAGGTTGTTTGTTTGGCGGCGACGATGAACCGATTGTTGAAGAGGGAACTCCTGACGTCGAGGCGACTGTATCGGCCAGATTGACGGAAGCGGCGCCGACCGCAGTGCCTCCGGACCCCGAAGGCACCGTGGCTGCAATGCTAGCCGCCGCGTTAGCTGCTCAAGATGCTCAAGCTGCTCTGGATGCTCAGGCGACGGCAGAGGCGCAGCCTCAGCCCACGAATACTTCGGAACCTGCCGACACCCCGGTGCCTGTTGTGTTGCCGACCGACACCCCGGTTCCGACGATTCAGCCCACAGATACGCCGATCCCGACTCCTACCGTTGATGCACTGACCAGGCCGGCGATTATCACCGGATTTGTGGATATCGGAGGTAGCCGGGCTCCACAGGGCGTTGTGATATACGCACGCTCAACGGAAACTAACCCACCACGGTGTTGCAAACTCAGACGGACGCCGACGGCAGATATTCGTTTGAAGTACGAGTTCGCGGGATCGTGCTGGACCTTTACGTTGGCAGCGACGACACTGGGGTAAATACTGCTCCGATTATCCTTGGTGACGTTCAAGCCAAGAATCTGGTGATTCAGTAGACCGCTTTCGACGGTATTTGATAATTGCCCCGGCGGGTTCCCACCGGGGTAATTATCTTTTGATCGGAGGGGTCGCGCCTCCAGGTGGTTCAATTTGATAAAATGGTCGCGCTGGTCGTTCCCATCCGTAATTTGTCGGGTTGCCGGGCAGCTGAAATAATCTGAATATAGCCGCACCGATCGAATTATACCCAACATGCCAATCGAAACTGCCCTCGGAATCATCGGCAATCCTATCGGGCATTCCATCTCCCCGTTGTTTCAGCAGGCCGCGCTGGACCATTTGGGAATCGATGCCGAATACCGAGCTTATGAAGTTCAACCCGAAGCAGTGGGAAATTTCGTAGGTAGTCTGCGGGCGCCCAACGTCCAGGGGAATCAATGTAACCGTACCGCACAAGGAGGCGGTGATCCCCCATCTGGATGTTGTGGACGAGTGGGCTTCTGAGGCTGGCGCCGTCAACACTATCGTGAACCGCGACGGCCAGCTGTTCGGGCACAATACCGACGGGTACGGATTTTTGCGTGCGTTGCGTGAATCCGGCGGTTTGGAACCGTCGGGCAAGCAAGTTTTGATTCTGGGAGCCGGTGGGTCAGCTCGGGGCGTGGTGCAAGCGCTGATCAGGGCTGGCGTGGGTCAGATTGTTATCGCCAACCGCACCGTGTCTCGCGCGGAGACGCTGGCCCAGGTCGCCATTGGCGGCGGTATACCGGCCGGTGCGGTGCCATTGGAACCGTCTCGTCTGTCTGCCATTGCGGCGGAAGTGGACCTGATCGTAAATTGCACCTCATTGGGCATGCGGCACGGACCGGACGCCGATGCCACTGCGCTGGCGACCCTTAAACTCACGCCGAACGCGCTGGTATACGACCTCGTGTATAATCCCATGCTGACGCCATTACTGGCATCTGCACAACGTGCTGGCGCCGCCGTGCTGGGTGGGTTATCAATGCTTGTGTATCAGGGAGCGGCGGCGTTCGAGATCTGGTTTGATCAGCCGGCGCCGGTTGATGTGATGACCCGTACCGCGACGGAGGCAATGCAGGCACGCGAGTCGTAGCCAGCATAGGCGGCTGTAGGCGTGTAACGCAGCGAATCGCGTGATACTGGGTCGAAAGAATAATCCCGACAGGAGGCAAATCCTCGATGATACGGTGGTTTACGGCGGGTGAGTCCCACGGGCAGGGTCTGATGATTATCGTGGAGGGTGTGCCGGCTTATCTGTCCCCTCGACGAGGAGTATATCGCGCGGCATTTGGGTCGTCGCCAACGTGGATATGGTCGAGGCGGTCGGCAGTTGATTGAAAGCGACCACGCGCATATCCAGACCGGTGTGCGCCACGGTTACACGCTGGGCAGCCCCATCGGGATGTCCATTGAGAACAAAGACTGGGCGAATTGGCAGGAAGCCATGGCCGTCGAATACATCGAAAACCCTTCACAGGAAGGACGCAACCAGAGGGTTACGCGGATCAGACCTGGCCATGCCGACCTTCCTGGCGCGATGAAATACGGTTTTCACGATGTACGAAACTCTCTGGAGCGTGCATCCGCGCGGGAAACCGCGGCTCGAGTCGCCGCCGGCGCGGTAGCCATGCGATTACTGGAAGAATTTGGCATCAAGCTCCACAGCCACGTGATTTCAATTGGTAGAGTCAGGGCCAATCCACCGGCACAAGAGGAAAATCGACTGGGACGCAGTTGAGGAGTCGCCGGTGCATTGCGCCGATGCCGCCGCCGCCGACCTGATGATGGCCGAGGTTGATGCGGCGAGAGAGGCCGGTGACACGGTTGGCGGTACCGTGGAGGTGATCGCTGAAAACGTACCCATCGGATTGGGATCGCACGTCCATTGGGATCGCAAGATAGACGCCAAAATCTCCCAGGCATTGATGAGCATAAACGCGGTCAAAGCGGTGAGCATTGGAGAGGGCTGGGAGTTGTTGGACAGGTGGGGCTCCGAGTTTCAGGATGTGATCGAACCGGTAACCGATCCGAACAATCCCTGGCAACGGAAGACCAACCGGGCTGGAGGTACGGAGGGTGGAATGACCAGCGGAACGCCACTGGTTGCCCGCTTCGTCATCAAGCCGATTGCCACCTTACACAATCCCCTGCCTTCTGTAGACCTGGACACTGGCGAACCGGTTAGGGCACATTTCGAGCGGAGCGACGTTTGTCAGGCTCCCCCAGCCGGCGTAATCGGAGAGGCTATGATGGCGCTGGTTCTGGCTGACGCCTTCATGGAGAAGTTCGGCGGCGACAGCATTCCGGAAACCCGCCGCAACTTTGAGGGCTACCAGGCCACCGTGGGACCGCGACTGCAGTACCGGTAAGAGACAACCAGGCGCGGCTCCGGGTGCCGGCAGAAAGGGACGGATGATGGAGATTGTGTTGATAGTTACGGGATGCGCCGCGGCTTTGCTCGTTGTTGGGTTTGGCACCTGGTTCCTGCGCCGGATGCGAGCCAACCGTACGTGGGCGCATCCTGGAGTCGCCGGCACGAACGGGCAGCTCGCTGACGGGCGGGTCAGCGAGCAGGAGTTGGCGAGATTCCAGGGTCAGTTGGGTCAGGACGTAACCGTTCAAACTACCATTGACGCGGCCGGCACCCAAATCGGAGGTGGGTTTTAACCGGCGGCATGAAGTCATGAAGTATGGAGTAACGCTGTTACCAACGTCGTTTGAGTCGTTGCGGAAACACGTTCGCCTGGCCGAAGCGGTGGGTTTTGACTACATCGGTATCGCCGACTCGCAATCGCTGTTCCGGGAACTGTTCGTATCGCTGACGGTAGCCGCCACCGAAACGACACGTGTGCACCTGGGGCCATCGGTCACCAATCCGTTGACACGTCATCCGGCGGTGACGGCTTCGGCGATTGCGTCGCTGCAGGAATTGTCAGAAGGCCGGGCGTTTTTGGGCATCGGGACCGGAGATAGCGCGATACTGAATCTGGGATTGCGACCGGCTCGGATGAGAGCGCTGCGCGAATACGTTACAACGGTGCGTTCGATGCTCAACGGTGAAACGGTCGAGTATTTGGGACGGGAGGGTCACGTACGATGGAGTCGGGATCCGGTGCCCATCATGATGTCTGCGGAAGGGCCGCGTACGCTGCGCATGGCGGGAGAGATCGCTGACCGGGTGATGGTGCATACCGGCCTGACGCGCGAAGTGCTGGACGACACGGTGGAACACATTCGCGCCGGAGAAATTGACGGTGGGAAGGCAGCCGGCAACTCGGAGATTTGGGCATTTGCCAAATGCAATATCGGTGACGACCGGAACGCTGCCATCGACGAGATCAAGATGGCGTTGGCCGCCAGCGCGCATCATGCCTTCCGCTTTACGCTGGAGGGCAAGCATGTTCCCGAAGAGTTGCATGAAGCGCTCATGGCCATACAGGGTGAATACGTACCCGCCGAGCACGAGCAGGTAGGTGACACGCGAAACGCCGCGCTTTCCGACGAACTGGGCGTTACCGACTACCTGGCGGACCGGTTTGCCGTCGTTGGTACGCCAGGCGAATGTCGCGAAAAGGTTCGCCAGATCGTTGCCTCAGGCGTCGACGTGCTCCAGATTACAGCCATCAGCCACGATCCGGCGGAAATAATCCGGCGGTTCGGGGAAGAAATTATCGCCCGTTGACAATGAGAAAACCCTCCTGACCGAGCGGGCAGGAGGGCATTCGACGCTTCGGTTGCGACACGTTGGGAGTCCTATGGGAATAGAATCTCTCCGGTTTCGGCGTCTTCCACGGTGATAGCGGTCACCGGGCAGTTCTCAGCCGCTTCCAGAACCGTTTCCTCAGGGTCTCCCGCGGCGTCCTTCACGTAGGACTGGGCGGTCTTCATTCAGCCCGAAGGTATGGGTGGCAAAGGTCTCGCACATGGCGTTACCCACGCACACGTTGTAGTCCACTGTAATCTTGAGTTGCCGTGCCATCAGGGTAACCTCCTCCTCTTGGTATTTCCGGGTATGGATTGTAGGGTTGGGCGCAGGCGCCCGGTTAAGACTCTATCGGGTAGTGATGGGCAGGTTGAGCAGAGTTCTCTGACCGACGCTGGGCAGATATTCCAGATCGGCCGGGTCAGTTTCCAGTTGTAATCCTTCGAATCGTTGGGCCAAAGCGGCGAACGCTTCCTGCCCTTCCAAACGAGCCAGGGTCGCTCCCAGGCAATGGTGGACTCCACTCCCAAACGCAACGTGAGGGTTGGGATTCCTGGAGATATCCAGGTCGTCGGGGTTGTCGAAGATCGATGGGTCACGGTTGGCGGACGAAATTACCCACCGCACGCGGTCGTCCTTGCCGACGCGCTGACCGCCCTCCATCTCAATATTCTGCGTCGCGATGCGCTGCACAGACTTAAGCGGCGAGTCGTAACGCAGAATTTCTTCAACTGCGTCGACGATGTGGCCGTCGGGGTCGGAGCGCAGCATTTTGAACTGGTCGGGATGCTGTGAGAACGCCAGGATACCGTTGGCGATCAGGTCGTTGGTGGTTTCATGGCCGGCTACCAGAAGAAGCAGGGCGTTGGCGAGCACTTCATCCCGGGTGTAAGCTCCCATGATTTCGCCTCTGCAGATTACCGACAACAGGTCGTCGCCCGGCTCGCGCACTCGCTCTGCCACGATGGGCTTGAGATAGTCGGTTACAGCCTGTACACCTTCAGCGAAGTTGCGAACGCGGTTGGGATCGTTGCCGTCGAAACCGCACATTTTGGCTGGACAACTCTTTGACGAAGGCGCGGTCGCTTTCCGGGATGTCCATCAGGCCAGCGATAATGCTGTAGGTGAGTGGGGTGGCAAAATCGCGCATCATGTCCAGCTGCCCTGATCCCTGCAAATCGTCCAGCAGGGCACTGACAGTTTGGCGAACCAGAGGTCGCCACGACTCCATGGCTTTGGGAGTGAAAAAGCCGTGTACTACCTTGCGCTGTTCCTTGTGTTTGGCGCCGTCGTTCTGGGTGAACCTGGCGGCCAACCACTGTCTGACCGCGCCGAACAACTCCATGTCTTCTTCGGGAATGGTTGGGGAAAGCGGTTGCGTGTCGCGCAGGGCTACTTCGGAAGAGAAGTATTCCGGGTGGCGCGCCGTCCAAACCAGCTGCTTATAACTGGAGATGATCCACACCTGGTACTGCTGGTTCCAGCGCACCGGTTGTGCATCCCGGAGTGTGCCGAAAAAGGTGTAAGGGTCCCGGATCGCATCGGGCGCGAAGAGGTCATCATGGAAGGTAGATGGCATATCCGGGATGCTCCATCCGCTGGCGGCGAGGTACCGAAGTTCGGTGATTATTAGAACACGCCAGAATGTGGGTAAGTTATCACACCGAGTCCCACAATTCAAACGTGAATCGGCCCACCATGCGTACTGCACGGTACGGCCGATCATGGATTCTCGGCGCCGACCATCGGCGCTCGGCAGGGTTAGCGGGCGCTGGTTACAGTGACCGGTAGGCTTTCCACGGCCCGGAACGTAAGAACATGGTCGTACTCGACCTGTTCCACCGGGATTTCCAACTCCATCTTGTCGAAACGGTTGGCCAGATTGCGGAAAATCTCCTGCCCTTCCAGGCGGGCCAGCGTTGCACCGAGACAGTGGTGGACGCCGCTACCAAAGGCGACGTGCTGATTCGGGTAACGCTCGATATCGAAGTCGTCGGCGCGGTCAAACACCTTGGGATCACGGTTGGCGCCGGGTATGAACCAGCGTACGCGATCGTTCTTGCGAATGGTCTGGCCATTCATCTCGATGTCGTCCACCGCGATACGCTGGATCGAGCGAACGGGCGAATCGTACCGCAAGGCTTCTTCGGTGGCGCGCACGGTTTTGCCTTCGGGATCTGACTTGAGGTCGGCCCACTGATCAGGGTGCTGCGTGAAGGCGAGAGTTCCGTTACAAATCAGGTTAATCGTTGTTTCGTGTCCGGCAGACAGCAGCAGCATCACGTTGTTGATGGTCATATCACGGTTGAAGATACCCTGCCGTTCGCCCTCGGCGACCACCGAGATAAGGTCATCCTTTGGACTCTCAACGCGTTCCGCGACCAAGGGGCTGATATAGTCCTGGAGGTTCTTCACGGCTTGGGACAAGGGGCCCATACGATCCGGACCATCGCGATTCAGGAACCGCAAATCCTTGGCGAGTTCCCGCAATTTTGGCCGATCGCTGTCGGGAATGCCCAACATGCGGGCGATCACCAGCAACGGCAACGGCGTGGCGAGGTCGGCCATGACGTCCATTCGGCCTTTCTCTTCAACTGCGTCCAGCAACTCGTCGATTGCCGACTGCACGAGAGGCCGCCACATCTCCATTGACTTAGGAGTGAAATAACCGTGCATCACCCGGCGCATGTCGACGTGGTCGGCGCCAGATACTTCCGGGTTGTAGCGCCTCTGGTCGTGCTGAATGAAGCGGGAAACCTGCCACTTCTTGATGAAGTTGTAGATTTCCATGTCGTCTTCGTCAATGGGCGGGTTTGGCGCGCGAACGTCGCGCGCATAAACACTGGAGGAGAACGCTTCCGGATGACGGGTGACCCAGACCAAGTGTTCCCACGAGGTGATCATCCATACTTCGAGTTCTTCGTTGTAGTAGACCGGTTCGTATTCGCGCAAACGATTGTAGAAATCGTACGGCTGGTAGATGGCCTCCATTGAGAATGGGTTGTCGTTGATGGTACTGACCATTGGTGCAGCCTCCGGTTGAATAATTGTCGTGGCTAACCGTCCCGCGGCTGGCCATGCAGATGCGGCGATTATAACCGAGTTTGGAGCGATACGCTACACGCTGGCCCCCGAACAAACGGGTTACGAACGGCGGATGACAAACTGCAAAGGAAATCGGCCACCCAGGGGTCGATTACCCCCAGGCGGCCGAGATAATATCGACAGTGTAGTCAGATTGCGATTTTTCCCGTTACCGCGCGCTGGTTACCGTAACAGGCAAGCTTTCCATCGCCCGCAATCCGATCAACTGGTCGTATTCGATCGGATCTGCCGGGATCTCAAGCTCAATGGTGTCGAACCGATTGGCAAGATTGCGGAAGATCTCCTGACCCTCCAGACGCGCCAGCGTGGCGCCCAGGCAGTGATGGATGCCGCTGCCGAATGCAACGTGCATGTTGGGGTACCGTTCGACGTCGAAGTCGTCGGCCCGGTCGAATACCTTGGGATCACGGTTGGCGCCGGAGATGAACCAGCGTACCCGGTCGTTTTTGGCGATGGTTTTTCCGGCTATTTCGATGTCGTCCACGGCGATGCGCTGGATGGACTTGACCGGGGAATCATACCGCAGGGCCTCTTCGGTGGCGCGGACGGTTTTGCCATCAGGGTCCGATTTCAAGATCGCCCACTGGTCGGGATGTTGCGCGAACGCCAGCGTGCCGTTGCAAATTAGGTTGATGGTAGTTTCGTGGCCGGCAGAAAGCAGCAGCATGACGTTGTTGATCACCATGTCGCGACTGAAGATTCCTTGCCGCTCGCCTTCTGCAACGACAGAAATGAGGTCGTCCTTGGGGTTGGCCACTCGTTCGGCGACCAGAGGGCCAAGGTAGTCCTGCAGGTTCTGAACCGATTCTGACAGTGGAGCCATGCGGTCCGGGCCAGTGCGATTCAGGTGGCGCAGGTCTTTGGCCAGCTTTCGCATGATGGGCCGGTCGCTGTCGGGGATGCCGAGCATACGGGCGATCACCAGGAGGGGAAGCGGAGTGCCAGGTCGGCCATGACGTCATAGCGACCCTTCTCTCCACACGCCGTCCAGCAGCTCGCCCGGGATGGGCAGATTGCACCAGCGGCCGCCACATTTCCATGGATTTGGGCGTGAAGTAACCGTGCATCACACGACGCATATCAACGTGGTCTGGGCCAGATATTGCCGTGTTGTAACGCTTCTGATCGTGCTGGATGAAACGGGAGACCTGCCAATTCTTGATGAAGTTGTAGATTTCCATGTCGTCTTCGTCAATTGGCGGGTTGGGTGGACGTAAGTCCCGGGCGAACACACTGGAAGAAAACGCCTTCGGATGCCGGGTTACCCAGACCAGGTGTTCCCAGGAGCTAACCATCCAGACTTCGTATTCCTCGTTGTAATGGACCGGTTCCCACTCTCTCAGCCGACTGAAGAACTCGTAAGGCTGATACATTGCTTCTAGTGAGAAGGGGTTGTCGTTGATGGTGCTGACCATGATTGCAACCTCCTGACAGGGTTGAGTGTAAGTCGTGCTCTCAAAGAGCGCCTGGGGACTAATTTTGAACGATTATAACTGATAATGTCGTCGGGCTCAACGACATTCGACTCTATTTGCACTTTGAACGCAGGATACCCGGTCTAACAGAGGCGCTGGGGTTAGTCACACCGTGGCCAACGGGGTGTGGGTAGAACCCTGGAGAGTATCCCTGTGTTGCAAATGTTGAGTGTAGAACGCAATCCTTGATCAGAAATCACAACGACCGGCATATTAAAAACGGCGACCGCAGGATTCCCCGCGGTCGCCGCTGATACAGCTAATTGGCGGTGAGTGTTACGAAAGGTTCACCGGCAACTGTTCCAGCGTGCGGAACGTGATGCTTGAGGTATAGGTCAGGTCTGCCGGATCGGCGGCGAGGTTGACGTTCGGGAACCTCTCGGCCAGAGCCTTGAAGGCTTCCTGCCCTTCCAATCGCGCCAACGTCGCTCCCAGGCAGTGGTGGATGCCGCTGCCGAACGCCACGTGAGGATTGGGATAGCGCTCGATGTCAAAGTCGTCTGGCCGGTCGAACACTTCCGGATCACGGTTGGCGCTGGTGACGAACCATCGCATCCGTTCGTCCCGATTGATCTGCTTCCCGCCGAGTTCGATGGTATCACCGGCGATGCGAGTGATGGACTTGACGGGCGGGTCGTAGCGGAGGCATTCCTCGGTGGCGCGGATCATGCGAGCATTGGGATCAGACTTGAACAATTCCCACTGGTCGGGGTGGGTCATGAAGGCCCGGGTGCCGTTGCAGATGAGGTTAATAGTGGTTTCGTGTCCGGCCAACAGCAGGAGAATCGAGTTCGCCACCACCTGTTCTTCGTTCATCACGCCCACGCGGTAGGCGTCAGTCATGCGGTCGAGCAAGTCCCCATTGGGGTTCTTGATTCGCTCGGTGACCATGGGGCGCAGGTATTCCTGTAGTCCCATGATGCCTTCGGTGAGGGGCTGCATCCGGTCGTTGTTGCCACGGCCGATGAACAGGAGTTTTTCGGCCAGGGAACGAATGAACTGACGGTCCGTGGTTTCGATGCCCATCATCGCCGCGATGACCAGTAGAGGCAACGGTGTAGCGTAATCCCGCATCACGTCCATGTGGCCGCGTTCTTCCGCCTCGTCGAGGAGCTGATTGATGGCCGACTGTACCAATGGGCGCCAGAGTTCCATCGCTTTGGGGGTGAAGTACCCGTGGATAACCTTCCGCATGTCCGTATGGTCCGGTCCTTCGTGAACCGATACTTCCTTGCGGTCGTGCTGGATGAACCACTGGGAGAAGAAGTCTTTTACATACTCGTACAAACCCATGTCGGATTCATCGATGTCGGGATACGGAGGCAGGGGATCACGATTGAATACTTCGGAGGAGAACAGCTCCGGGCGGCGGGTGACCCAAACCAGGTCCTTGTATTTGGAAATTACCCACAGTTTGTAGGGGTCGTTCCGAGTTTGCACGTATTGGAGGCCCCGAGCCCGCTCGCCCCTTCTGGGCCGGGGGGCGGGTGCTGGAGGGGCTATTCCCGCCTGTCCGGTTCTACTGTGTAATTTTGCGCTGTGTTCTGGCGGGCCCGTCGTTCTATTAGGACCGCGGTGTGGTTGGCGTATTTTCGGGGCGTCCTGGGTGTTCTGTGGTCTGGGCGTGGCGCTGGTGGGGATGGGGGGCGCGGTTTGGCCGCGTCTGAGGGCGTATGTAGGATGGGGGGGGGGGTCTTGCGTGTGGGTGGTGCAAGGGGGGGATGCTAGGGGAGGTGGGGTAGGCGGGAGGGAGGGAATGGTTTTTTTTTCTGTTTGGTTTTTTGGTTTGTTTTTTTTTTTTTTTTTTCAAGAGTGCCCATCGGGTGGGGGGCAGCGAAAAGTTGCACTCCAAGCTGGAGGAGATCAAGCAGGCCCGGGCGCTGACCCACGATGCGGCCATTGTGACGGCGGCTAGCCTGATGACTCAGAGCTTGGCGGGACAGATCCTGCACTTGAATGAGTCCATCCAGCGGTTTGATGCCAAAATCGAGGAACTCTTCAACCACCACCCCGACCATTTCATTTTCAGCAGTCTGCCCGGCTCTGGAAAGGCTCTGGGACCGCGGCTCTTAACTCTCTTTGGGGAGGATCGGGATCGTTTTCCAGAGGAGATTGGGCAGTGATTGCGCGGGGGGTGGGATGGGGGTGGGGTTGGGGGGGAAGTGGGGGTGGGGGTGGAGCGTAGCGTGTGGGGGGGGGGGGGGGTTGGCGGATGGGGGGTGGGGGGGGGGGGGGTGGGGGATCGCCGGGGGGGTAGTTTGTTCTGTCGGTGTCCGTGGGTCATTTTGTGTGGTGTGTTGGTTATTTATTTTGGGATTTTGTTTTATTTTTTTCTGACGTTTTTTTTTTTTTCTTCGCGCATCCGACCAAAGTAGGAATACGGGTCTTGCACTACTTCCGGTGAAAAGAGATCCTCGTTAAACGTGGTAACCATGCCGTCCCTTCGTTCAGCAATTAAAGGCCGACCGATCAAAAGTCGACCAGTGATTGTAGTGTTACAGGTAATTCGATCATTGAACAACGCAGTGTGTAAGTAATGTTGAGGGTCAATAATTATTATCCGTATTATGTGCGCCCGTTCCTTCGTCCAAGGCCCAATAAACAACTGATTCGTGCACCGTGCACCGCGCCTGAATTTCGGATAGGGGTATGTTTGCACCTGTCATAGTGTCACGGCATCGCTTTCCCAGGGCGTGACTGCACAGGGATACGAAAATGGGTCGATAGATTCACGAGAGGTCAAGGCAAAGACGACCCCGTCATAATCGTGTCTACAATCTG